TCAAAACTCCTTTCGAGACAGCCACGCATTTTCTCTTGAGCCGGAGTCTCTGCCAATTTGATTGTTTGTTTGTCTTTCCTCAACCCAAATCGTTCATTTCCCTTCTTTGCTTTTTCCAATTTTGCGTATTTTGTTTGTTTGTGTTGTCGTTGTTTTTTTTTTTGTTAAATTACGAAGTTTTCTCAATTAACTTTGTTCACTGAATTTTCGTATCTTTCAATGCACGAACTTGTCTCGCGCTCACACCGGTTCTCTCATTTTCTGTGTGTTATTTTCGCAATATTTCATTATTATTTTTTATATGCGGGCCATTTGATGGTTGGAACGTCTCAAGGATTTAAATTGTTACGAAATCCGTTATTATAATTATTTCCACACTTGTGATAAGCTAAAATAAGTTCGTCACTCAATTTATGAGCGAAATTCCCTTTTGTGCCCATTATTTTGATGAGCATCTTCATTGTACAACACTGTATGAGGTAGCAATGAGCATCATGTACAATGTTTGAGACATGATGGTTCAAATTAATCTGCACAACTTGATTTTGATTTACCACAAAAATGCGTTCTTTACACGCAAAATTGTAGTCACCGTCTGATCATCTCATCAAATCATGTCTACCACGAATCAGACCGTCTTTCCATCTCTCACCACCAACTTCAATCTGTTCATGTTCGATATGTCTTCCTCATCGAAAACACACTGCCGTAATGAACTAATTGTGTTTTATGGATTCGTTCTTCAACATACAGACTGACAGCGAATACGGTGAACAAATAAGAAGAAGGAGCAGAGAGAGAGTGAGAGAGAAAGACGTAATGACGACGTTAACTTGTTGTATTTGGGATAAATTGCAATTTTAGCGAGTGCATGTGGAGAGTCACTTGATCCTAACGAATTTTACTGTGAAGCACATATAATTATACCAAACACATCGTGCAAGTACGCATTTCGTTTGTACGTGCGGAGGACGAAAATGAGGATGAATGGCCTAGCAAACCAAACTAATCAACAGTACATCACTCCGTCGTTTCTTCCCCCAATAAAAGATGTTAAGATAAAAACGACTTAAATGAGGGAAGTCTCAAGCATCAATATCATCAAGCAAAAGGTAAAAATGCCTATACAAAACATGACCAAAACGAGAAAAACCACTGTGCATGTATTAAACATTGTACGTAGAGAAACAGACACATTCAAAAAAAAAAAAAAAGAAAGTGTGCACAAGTAAAGCACCAGTTTGTGAAAAGTTCCATGAAGAAACACTTCGAATGGTGGCAGAGAAGCTAAACAAAAACAAGAGCGAGAAATAACACAAAAAATACGAACAGAAACTTGACGAAATATGTTTTATGAAATGCTATGGAAAAACTTTGCAATTTTTATCTGATGTCTTGCCAAGTTGAGTAAGTCACCACCAAACAAACTTGATGTCATTTCTTGGACAAAGTACGATGACAAGCCGGGTAGTTCGTACTGAAATATATATATAAATGGAACATATTGAAAATGCATGAATTCGATGAACGATAACATTGAAAAAGCATCAAGTGTTTGTTGGCATACAACACTCGCATATATAGTGGTCCACAATTTATCAATAGATGAGTTTGAAGGTGAGTAAAAAACACCACACAACGATGAATTTTTCTTCAAATTGCAATTTCTTAAGACAATATTCGATAGAGCGACGCATAAAATTGTGTGGATGTTTTCATGTAAGCAAAACCGACGTATAAATGATGATGATACACCGACCAACCGCATGGATTTTAAATACTTTGCCTTTTAAATGAGCCAATCCATTCGTTGGGCTTTCTCATCTAACAAACTTGAGTGAAAGACGTTGTTTATCCTTGAGGCGTTTACAAAGCGGCCTCAACACAAGGTCTACATTAGTTTATTGA